TGTGTTTTCTGCTAGATGTGTGTTGTGTTGTGTGTTTTCTGCTAGATGTGTGTTGTGTGTTGTGTTGTGTGTTTTCTGCTAGATGTGTGTTGTGTGTTTTCTGCTAGATGTGTGTTGTGTGTTGTGTGTTGTGTGTTTTCTGCTAGATGTGTGTTGTGTTGTGTGTTTTCTGCTAGATGTGTGTTGTGTGTTTCTGCTAGATGTGTGTTGTGTGTTGTGTGTTGTGTGTTTTCTGCTAGATGTGTGTTGTGTGTTGTGTGTTGTGTGTTTTCTGCTAGATGTGTGTTGTGTGTTGTGTGTTGTGTGTTTTCTGCTAGATGTGTGTTGTGTGTTTTCTGCTAGATGTGTGTTGTGTGTTGTGTGTTGTGTGTTTTCTGCTAGATGTGTGTTGTGTTGTGTGTTTTCTGCTAGATGTGTGTTGTGTTGTGTGTTTTCTGCTAGATGTGTGTTGTGTTGTGTGTTTTCTGCTAGATGCGTGTTGTGTGTTGTGTGTTGTGTGTTTGCTGACCTCTCCTGCTCTGCTGTAATGCGGACGGCGGTGGCGTGGACACTTTCATGGCCAGTCCGTACGCGCCGCGGAACGAGTGACTGTCTCGCACGATGAAGGTTCCGGGCTCTTTGTCCTTGAGCAGCGCTATAGCTGTTGAAGCAGAAAGCAGACGTCAGAACACAGACGGACACACGCTCGTGACAGATAACTCAGAACTCCTCCTGTACCTTGCTCTCGGGCGATGTCCGGCTTGTACCAGTACTTTGAGGTGTCCTGGACAAACTTGGCCGTCAGCTGCTTGTTGGAGAGCTGATCTGCAACATCAGCACAGTATTCAGCTCTGACACTATTGGGTTCACACTAGAGCTGCTCGACATATCCAAAACAGCAGTGATCACACTATATGCGGGACTCGTGTCTCAGACAGGTGGGGCAGGGTATCGAGGTCGATACTGCGGAGGAACAGACCCAATTATCTCTACTATCGAGTGTTGAAAAAGGTCTTGTCACTCGGTACCAAGTTTGAATTTCTACATGGATAAACCCCGCCAGTGTTGGTGAACCACGTGTGTATGACGGCTGAACTATAATGAACTCGAATACACTGATGCCGGCACACGAGGTGAATCCCCACTGAGACAGGAACAAGGTGTACAGTGAAATGAAAGTTTGGGTGTGTGTCTGTATACTCCAGCTCTCACCTGTGGGGGGCAGTGTGACGCCGGCGCGGGTCTGCAGCTCTGGCAGGACGCTGGGGAACGGGATGCTGATGGAGCTGCCGCTGTGGGGACTGGAGAACCCGCTGGCAGCCGGAGACACCGAGCCCTGACTGTGCTCCCCGTCTGAGGCCGCACCCTGCAGACCCTCCAGACGCTCCAGACCCTGCAGACCCTCCAGCGGCTGTGGCTGCAGACTGAGGCTCAGCTGCTCCTGGAAGACCTGCAGCCGGCTGCGCTGGAGCGACCTGAGACCTGCAGATGGAGACGAGGACACCGGAGGGAGGACCACTGAGCCTGAATGAGGAGGCCTGCACACACACACACATGAACACACACACACACACACGGACACACACTGATGTTATCATCAACATCCGCATATGGCAGAGTTCAGCAGTCTGTGTAGTGGTGATGATATTGTGTGGATATCGTGGGCTGTACAGGGAAGGATCATGTGGGCTGAGGAGGACACTGCTCTCCCGCTGTACCCTATTATTATTCCCGGTTCTGCTCTGGATCAGACTCTCCTCTCAGGGCTTTGTCGATTTGCTCTGTGTCTTCTCCAGCTGATCTGACTTTGTGTTTTCCAAAAACTGACCCGGAGAACAAGTCAAATTCCCATTGACTGAGCACTGGACCAAACTTTGACGCATCATAACTCTGAAAAGGAATTTCTTATAGACATGAGGTCCTCCACATCTGCAGAGGCTGTCAGGCGGTGTAAAACTACACGTTAAACTGAGCTGTACGTTATTCCCCTGGGGTGCAGCAGCGCCCCCATCTGACCACACAGAGGGTCATTACGAAGGCCCAGACTGATCGAGACATCAGGGTTCATTAATCTCATTCATATTGGCAAGAAGCTTTGATGTATCATCATTCTACGCTGTCATTCGCCTCCATAGCAACAGAACACACTAACCTAGCAACCATTTACCAACAGCGATATCTCAGCATCTCACGCAGGACTCACGCTAGCAAACTGTACTTCCTGTATGCTCCAAATGCTAGCAGTGATTAGCTACATTATAATAATAATAATGTCATAACTCTGGAATGTTCTCACTGTTGTTTTTAATCCATTAATTAACATTTAATAACGAGACTTTATTGAAATGCTTCCTTCATTCACTTATTCACTCATTCATTTTCCTTCGGCTTGGTCCCTTATTAATCAGGGGTCGCCACAGCGGAATGAACCACCAACTATTCCAGCATATGTTTTACACAGCGGATGCCCTTCCAGCCGCAATCCAGTACTGGGAAACACCCATACACACTCATTCACACACACACACACACACACTTACACACTCATACACTACGGCCAGTGTAGTTGATCAGTTCATTTATAGCGCATGTGTTTGGACTGAAACCGGAGCACCCGGAGGAAACCCACGCCAACACGAGGAGAACATGCAAACTCCACACAGAAACACCAACTGACCCAGCCGAGACTCAAACCAGAGACCAGATGAATAGGCTTGTCTGTACCTGTAGCTGTCTGTGAATGTGGCGTCTCCACCGTACGGCCTGTGCTGTAAACCTTCGTCCCCCATGAATCCTGCGCTTCCCCTCATCTCTGAAACACAGACGAGACGCCACTGAAGCTGGAGACACACGACAGTGCGCAGAAATCACACACACACACACACACAGGACAGACACACACCCCCCCACACACACACACACACACACACACACACACACACACACACACACACACACACACACACGCACACACACACACACACACACACACACACACACACACACACACACACACACACAGATCGACTCTAAAGCTCAGAGGAACTCTTGATTTACCGTGTTCTGCTCTGCAGGATCCGAATGAAGGAGACAAAGTGTGTGTGTATGGGGGATAGTTCATCACCATGCTCTTCACTGGGGGCACACACACACACACACACATACACACACACACACACACACACACACACATACACACACACACACACGCTTAGTGGAGAAAACAGACAATGCAATAAATGCTGAAATAACACAGAGATCCTTTTTGAGGTTTGTGTGTGTGTGTGTGTGTGTGTGTGTCAGCATGCAGAGGTGTTCAGAGCAGCAGGTGTTCAGTACTCGTCTCACACTCCACTGGACACTGGCAGTGACCTGATGCCCTCAACACCAGCCTTCCCTATATCACCA